AGAGATTTGCCAGAGACATCAAGAAAGGATTGGTTTTTGGTACAACAAATCAGCTGAATATAGTATCAATTCTTCTAAGTTAAACAGTTGAGGATTGTTTTGTGATAGTCACGACATTTTCCAGGTTGGAATTAGCAGTCAATCCCCACCAAGAAAGGGAAACTGGATACAACCAAAAAAGTTAAAAAGAGGGTGAGAAACAGCTTTCATCCCCTTTATTCCACGTTCACAAACCTCCCATTTTTCCCCCTTCTTTCAAAAACCCCATGTATAAACATACTCTGAAATTCATTTTCACACAAATAGCCCCAAAGAGTAGCTAGGCATAAGAAAAGAGACGTACATGATATATCATGTAAATAAAACAGGAGAACTTTTGTTTGTTATCTGTCTTTGTTTTCAATGATGCAGGCAATATCAATTAGGGGTAAGCAAGGTAGACAGTTAGTCAAATTTATAGCTTTTGGGGCAAGGCAATGAGATTGAACATTACGGGGTGACAGAGGGCACAGGAACCTTTAAGCAAAAGCCAAATTACTACTCTGGGGTATGGCCCGTATTGGGTGGGGCTCTTATATGAAATCATGAAGGATGATGGTAACTGAGGGAGATGGAGTAGGTTCCTGATGGTTCAAGAGAAAATCTGTCTCAGAAAATGGAAAGTTTCCTCTTGTTTGTTGGTCATAAATGGTCCATAAAGACATGTGATAAAGACAGTTATAAAGTATAGTAGCCTCCTCTATCTTTAAGGGTTATTAAATAATTAAAAATTTAATAATCTAAATTAAAATTCTTATATCCATACTTAAAAAAAAAGTAGAGAAAGTTTATAAAAGTTTAAAATTTATCTTTTATTATATAATTCAATCATTTCATATACACAAAAAATAAATAAATAAAAATAAAAATAAATTTCTCCTCTAGGGTTGTGGACCTTATGGAAGCATCCCCATCTCCCTTTATCCAAATCTAAGAACATTGAACAAAGGGACTTACCCAGTAAAGTGAAAGGAATATACAAAAACAATAAAAATAATAATCCTTGTTTTAGTTTCAATGAACAAAAGCTACTGACAATGTTTTGTTGTTTGTTAGGTGAGAGAGCACCTTTGACCAAACAAAAGGTCAAGACCCTATTTTAAATTCTAGATTAATCAAATTCAGTGCTTTCTTGTTAACATAATTACAAGATTAGACCACCCAGAACTTTTTTACCATGAGATAACAGCGTGTAGATCTGGTTTTAATCATATCAAAATCAGATTAAGAAAACTAATACTACAAGATAACCGAACCACCAAAAAAAAACAAAATATCTGCCCTAAATATACACCAAGCATTTTATTTGTCTTTCAGATCAAGCAAAAGGGGAAATGAGTCTGATTCTGAATTTTTATTTTTTTTAGTTCATAGCAAGATGTATATAAAAAGCTTTCAGTTATGTATGTTCAAATTCAATATATTAATAAAGGTGGCCGGTAGAATTTTTGAAGCAGCCACAGTGGCTTTGGTGGTCTGCATTAAGCCAAATTAGTTAACCTTTAATTAGACATTTTCAAAAAGAAAAATTTAATTAAACAAAATCTCTTTTTTAGATAATAATTGTATCTAGATTTTTTATCAAACTAATCCCACAAATACTTATAAATTATTTAATTAACATACATAAAATAAAACTCTATTTTATAACACACACATAACATGTTAAAATTGTTTATGCCCTAAATTTAAATATATATATATATATATATATCAATATGGTTTTCCATGATTCCTTATAACTTAATTAATTAAACAACATTTATGTGAGGTTGAGTGATGGAAGTGGGGATTAATCTTGAACTTGAAGGAGCAATTTATAATGTCAAGTCTTCAATAAGAAATGGACAGAAGGGAAAGCCTGAGTTCTTATCCAAATCCATTAAGAACAAGCAAAACAACGGTGGCTTTTGACATGGGTTTTCATGTCATCTTACAATCATGCATGCCTCACATGATTAAGTTTACATTTTTTTTTTAACTAATTATTTATAGATTAATTAGATATATGAAAAAATTTTTATAAAATTCAACGTGTAACTCATAAAAACTAAACAATATTAATTAAAGATTCAATATTATTGGACCACAATGTTTATTTAAATCTACAGTTAAAGATACTTTTCACGGAAAATTTTGAAAGTCAAGCAAATCACAAATTTCGGCCACGATTTAGAAAAATCTAGAAGGAACATCATTGTCCAACGCGCATTGGACAAAATTGTGGAAAGAAAATAAAAAAAAGTAGGGGGAGCGCAAATA